TTCTTGAGCAAAAACAGAGCCCTAGAGAGAGAAAGGACGAAGAACACATCCTAGAAGCTATCTTGGAGCTGGGTTTCATCAAATCAAGCTTTGAGATCGTCATAGGAGTGGAAATCATCATCCCACAGCAGATTCTTCCCATAATTATGAGTATGACTGCTTTGTATCTTGTTTTCCTCTCTCTCTCTCTCTCTCTCTCTCTCTCTCTCTCTATGGAGTAGAACCCCTCTCTCACTTGGGGATGAAGACCCCTAGTTCTATGTGTTAGGGATTGATTGTAATGACTTGGGATGATATTACTGTTTGATTTTAATCGAATGATGCATGTTTATTGAGTCAATTGAAGTCTGATCAACTTTTCCCGATTCCTGCTGCAATCTGAGATAGATAGAATCTGATTAGGTTGCTAGAGTCTCATCATTCGGTAGTAGGAGATTGGCTATACGAGAGTTAGCCAGTTTACTGCTTTGTACTGGAATCCAATTCCAGTAGTGGAGTTCTGTTCTTATTGCTTCAGCTTTCTATCCCGGTGAAGACTAGTCGTCTGCCGGGTAGTCAGACTGAGAGGGCTTGGTCAGCTTAAGAGATTCCAAGCTACTGTCGGATCTTCCGCAGTCTAATCAACAGTAAATCAACCCAGGGAAATACAATTGAAACCTAACTAAGGAGCTAGGGGGACTCATTCCCGAGTGACTCTTACCTGCTTGAGAAAACCGTACCAATTCCTGCTTTCTTTCTGCTTTTGCTGCTAAACAACAATCACTTACTTTAGTTTGCTAGATAATAGATAATCACTGAGTAAGCAGTAGATCTAGACCCCGGGTTGATAATATCACTTGTCACTTTACTGCATTCCCGGTCTGCGATTACACTTGGTCGCAGATTGGTGTTGTGTTTTAGAGCATCAAGAGGCCAATGAACGATGTTCTCTTGGTATGGATCGAAGATGATCTACGCAAAAGAAATGAGTAAATTAAGATAGTAAGAATTGGAAAAATACATGTCTTCCATGGTAAAAATGTATAAATGGATCGAAGTATAGAAGTTACCTCTCCTTCCCAAAGTCGCTCAAACCTCCTCCGATACTCGTCCAACTTGTGTTGGGCAAGGTTGTCACAAGTTGTGTGTCCGAGCCACCTTATTAATAAGACAATAATGAAACTACAATAAGCTAAAACACAAGGGAAAATCAACCAAGAAAAAACATGATGGGTATGAGAAGTTTACCTTATACCATAAGCTTCCCCTCATAGGGGATGATCGATTGGCCAATCCCTGTCGGGACGTTGTACCGGTGCAATCCATGGCATATGCTCCCAAGCCCAAAATTGGACGATGAACATTGCGCCGCCGACCTCCCTCACAGCTTTTAGAGAGGCATTGCACAAGTTGTGGTAGATATTAGCTAGGAAAGCGGATGCCCAACTATACTCCCCCATCTCCTCCCAACTAACGAGGATGATCCTAAGCCATCCACAACTAAGGAGATTGCTTGCTTTTTTGGAGAAGAACACTCCTCCGATCATGCCAATGAGATAGACCCGAGCATATCTCTCCTTCTCATCCTCCGGACTTTCCTCGGTTAGGGGATGACTCTCGTCATGGTCTCTAAAGTACTTCGTCAACCAAGTAATTGACACTTGGTGTTTCCTCATTGGTGGCATGCGATCGGTCGTATCCACGCACCCCTTCACTGGTACTTTGACTCCCAAAACACTATAGATGAAATGAACCCAACCGGGCATACCGTCACAATCCTCGGGGGGATGATCACTCACGCACACCGGTTTGCCGTCGATGGGGAGATGGGTTAGGATGGCGACATCCTTTAGCGTGATGGTGGCCTCTCCTTCTCTAAAGTTGAAACAATCGGTCTCCTTTCTCCATCTCTCGACTAGGGCGGTGATGAGTTGGCGATCAACTTTGATGCCGTTAAAATGCCTAATCGGGTCCAACCGTGCCCTTTTGAGAAAAGGCAAGATAGCTGGGTGGAATGGGAGCACATTGGTCGTACCCCTGTAGCGGATTATTGTTTGTGCCTCCTAGGGAAAATTTACACGTTAATTATTATATATTAGTAAGGGTTTATTCCTTATAACTAAATTAATTAAATTAAATTATTTAACTTCAAGAAAAATTTTATTATCATAAAAAGAAATTTTATATAATTAACATAATAGCATTCTAAATTAATAATAATTTAAAGAGATACATACATATTATCATAAAACAAACATCCTAAATTAATTAACATAATAACATTCTAAATGAAGAAGAGATACATACATATTATCGTAAAATAAACATACTAAATTAACTAAATTAAATGACATTGTTAATGAATCATAATTTAAAGAGAAACATACATATTCAAATGTTTGAAATTAATAATATTCCTTTTGTACACATCAAAATAAATCGTAAGGGTTGTTTGGTAAATTATTTAATCGTGTTGGTTGTTTTAAATTATTTAATCGAATACAAATCAACACTCATTAGACTCTTAGAAGAGGTATACATCTTCTTAGAAACGCAGTCTTTTTGACAGAAAAAGGGGGGATCCGAGGATCTCTTAATACCCGATTTTCCCAGGGAATGGGAGGATATGATAATCGCTTAAAACCCCATTTCCTTAGACGTGCATCTCTTTATAAAGAGTCGAAGTAAGTGGTGCTATGTATTCGATTAAATTATTGAAAACAACCAACACAATTAAAAATTCAACATAAATTTATTTTATATTCCACTAAATACATTAACAAAATAAAAGAAGGACAAGAAGGACAAATGGTAAAGAATTGTATGTACCAGGTGACCGTTCCAAACATCCCTTGACCGATGGTTGGGTTGGTCGTACAAGTCGGTTGGATCCAACGGTCCTTGCTCGAGATAATACCGTTGGTTGTATATATCCACGTCCTCCCCAACCTACGAGAAAATAACAACGAGGTTAGTACATAGATTAATTAAAAAGCTTATAACAACAACAAAAATTAAACCAGAATAATGAGTACGTACCGCTTGAAATTCATCAACATAAACTCCTTCTTCTTGCCACCAATCGGCCATTTTTTCGGCGCAATTCGGACAGAGCTTCGGCTCGGCTCGGCGGGTTTTGAGGAAAAAACCTAAGAAATGTTTTCTGAATGGCAGATCGGACTTAGCCGCAACCAACAGACCACTATTTCCTAGGCTTTTGGGAGGGGGAGGGTTTAGAGAGATAAATTGTAGAGAGAGAAGGAAGAATGGGTTGTGGTGTGAAGAAATGAGAGGGGAAGGGGGGGGGGGGTATATATACCCATCAGATCGCACCCTCCAGGGGCGGTAGGGTAATTTTTCCCTCGTGCGGATCGCTCCCTTCTGATGCGATTTGCGGTTCCCAAGGGTTGAACGCATTCTACGCATGCGATCTGGAATCCTCGGCGCGGATCGCTCCGCTGGCAAGCGTTGAGCCGCCCAATCGTCCCTCCATCCAACGATCTTGAAGACCGTTCCGCAGCAGCACTAAATTGCACTGACCTAGTGCGATTTGTTATCTGGAACGCACCCCTCTGATGCGTTTTATATGTAGAACGTATCTTTCCGCTGAGTTTTACCTTTAAAACGCATCTTAGGGGTGCGTTCCAAAAAAATTGGTGCTAGTTTTGTAATTTTTTTATATGGGTGCTAGTTTTGTAATTTTTTTTAAAGGTGCTATTATTGGAAAAATCCCAATTTCCCCTCCCAACCCTAAACTCCCCTGCCATTTTAAACAAAGAGAAAGAGTACATTAGTAATGACTAATGTAGGGAAACTGATGATATGATCTCATTGTGTAGGTAGTTGCTAGCAGCAGGTGTAGTTGAAATGTTGGTTTGTGCATATTTTTAGGGTACAGAAGATGTACGTAGATATGTAGTTCATATTGTTTGGTTTTAACTCTTTGGAGCAAATGTTAATGATGATTAATGACATTGTAGAAAGAACCGTAACATACTCAGTTCCATCTCGAATTTCACATAGTTGCGTCGACAACGATCCTCTTTTTGGCTGCTTCAAGCTCCTCTCCCTTTAAGTGTTTGATCTTGAATTGGTAGGGTATCTTTAGCTTCTGTTTATTTCTTGCTTTTGTGCTCATGATCTGTGAAACTCATAAGCTAATTTGAATATACATTAATCTTTTGGTTTCACATTGGATGATTGCATGTTTATTTGACTTTAAGGATTATGCAAATTATGCTTGACCTCAAAGACATCGGCTGGCCGATATAGCTCAAGCTTCACCTGCTTTGCATTTGGGGTTTGAATGCCATTTGTAACCAGTATTAAGGACTACACATCATGAGATTTTGGATTGAGAGGCAATTTGATTCAAAAACTGAATGTGTAGCTATAGATTAAGGCTTATGCAAATTATGTCACCAATCGACAGTTCTGTACAGCTCTGGAATTACAATTGAGTTCAATATAGTCAAAATTACGCTTTAAATATTAAAATTTTACGTTTGTACGCTTCTAGAGAATCAAAATACTTCTATGTAGAATTGCACTTTTGACGACAATGATTGAGTTAATTGTTTTGAGTTATAGAGTTCCACACAACACTTCTATTTTAGTTCATCTAATGTGCCTTTGTATATTTACATGGTTGATCAGATTTTGGTAGCCCATCAAGTTAACCAATTGATAGACCTTGGATCAAGCTAATGATATTATGAATGATCTTTACCTCATCGCTCCATAGACTTAACACTTCTAGGAGACAAGCATTAGTAGTTGTGGTGCATTTCTTTGGTGAAAGCCTTACAATCACCAGGTTACTCGCAAGATTGTTTCCTCTCCTGTCTTATGAAACCTTTATATCATTCTGATGTATGACCGTCAAGTTTTATGTCTCTAATTCCTTTTCATTTCAGGTATTGGCAGTTTGATACCCAGGCTTCACCCATTGCTTAGAGAGAAGGGAGGCAGGGTTAGCCTAACAACATATATATCTTTGTTTTATTATAATGATGATACCAATTTATTAGAAAGCAAAATTAGGGTAAAGAACCAAAGATACAAGTTGAAACAAAAAAGGAAAACTAATGGACAGAAACACATGATGGTGATCAGGGTGACATTTTGGCACTATTATATGTAGAGTTCAAAATGTAAATAGTTGCTGGCGGGAGCTGCATTTGCCCTATTTAAGTATGTTCAGCTTAGATGTAGCAACTCCAGAAACTTGCATTTCTCAGTAAATATGTAGAAACTTCCCTTTTCCCAGGTTTGTGACTTTTGTTTTAAGTGTTTGTGATAACTTCCTCATTCAGTGTTTGTGTTCCAGGGGCAAGTGATTTTTTTCCTGGTGTATTTTAGGTGCAGATCCACGGAGGAGAGGACCGCAGTGGATGGTGACTGGATTCATTCACTGCCCAGCCGGTCGTCAAGCCTCTCAGTGTCGTCGACTGTACTATTGGGTTACAGCTTCTTTCCCTACTCAATCGTGGTTCCAACTGCCTACTTGCATTTTCAAGAGGGGTTCTTCGAGTCGAGGGGTCAGGGAATTGGCATACGTGGTCTGTTTAGCAGGGGAGTTGTTCATCAACCTCAATTAGTGACTTCTGAGATCGCTTCGAAGACTGCAATTCCAAGTAATTTATCTTTCCCTAGCTTTTCATTTTTGGTTGAGGGCCTGGGGTGCTTAATGATTAGTAATGGCGGATTGGAAAGAAAATCATGGTGGTGGTCGACTGTCATTTCCTATATTTTCAACTGTGGTTTAGGGTTCATAGGGTGATATTAATTAGACCAGAGGAATGGAATTGAGAATCATGTTGATGGTCCGTTTTGTGATTTAAATACATTTTGGGTGGATGGTTCACTTGGTAGACTCCATCGGCGTTTATACTCTTCTTCTTATCACTGCATAATTACAAGGTAGACTCAACTTTGGTTGGAGCATTTTGGATTTCTTCGACTGTTATGTTTGTGGTCTGTTGTATGTGTCATTAACTCGCACAAACTTATGATTGGTGAGGAGTTAAGCTTCTGTTATAACAACTAATTGATTTATATGAATGGCAGCTGCAAAGTGTATTGGAACGAGTGCATCATTTACCACGACATGTATTTCAGATTGCGTCAGGTTATTGCAGAATTAAATATGGATAGTGCAAATGTCATCCCATCTGCCCAACCACAGATTTATCGATCGTCTGTACCATGTGAGTGTCATGGTTTAGCACGAAACTGTTTCACTGCAAACTGACATTAATATTTTCCCTTGCATCTAATTTGTTAAGGGAAACGTCGAGGAGTTTTTATTCATCCTGAAGATCAGTACCAACGCTGTGTGTTATCTGCTGAAGAGGAAGAAGCATTTGAGAGAGATGTGTTCTCTGCGTTTTAATTTTTCTAATTAGTTCATCTATTCAATGAGTAATACATGGTTTTATATTTAAATTCTGCAGAAGAAGCTGCCTTACAATTCCAACTCTCTCAACTTCGGCGAATGCTATCCCAAGTCGCCCGTAAGAGAAGACATCATATTTTGAAACAGAAGGTTCACAGGAGGGGCTTGCCTTTTGAACACCAAGGTTGTTGTTTGCTTAATTTTGTAGCAAGTCTTACATATTAGGCTATTCTGTATTGTTCACTCTTTATTTATTTCTTTATTAACTTATTTGTTTTGGTGTTGTTCATAGTTTGGGAGCCTCAGTTTAGATTTCTATTACAAAAGCAAAGTCGATTACTTCGATGTATTCATCTGCATCGAAAGAGACGTGGCCGAAGTTTCTTTCCTACAGAAGTCAATCAAAGTATGTGGTTCTAATGGGCACTGTTATACATGACATGGTTCATTGGATATTTGTACATTGGATATTTGTTTTAGTGTTTTGGTCAACATAGTTTCCCCTATTTTGGTCTTAGAACATATAATGTACCCATTTATGTCATGTATATAATTTAGTGTTGTACGCTTCATGTGACCTTATGCAAACAGTGGATCATTTTTAGATGTTGATGTGTCAACGTCAAATTTGTGTGTTTTGAACAAACTTTAGTGTTTCCTGAAATTTGAGTTATTCTTACTTAAAATGAGCAGTATACCAATCAATTTTTCCTTGAGAACATTTGTTTTAATAATTGTGTTTACTGTAGCGCGAGTACATGGGCTTGAAAGTTTCTCAAACTCATTCAATTTATGAATTACTGTGACAAAAATTTATTAATATTACTTATCTATTTCACTAGGTCTTCCGTCGGTTGAATTTTTTGATATTGGTCCACCTTCATGTACGTGTCAACATTGTGGAGCAGTTATGTGGCGATTCGAGAGTACTTTATCTACACGGAATGATGTGTAGCCTGCATTTCCTTTATGTTGCAAACATGGTAAAGTGAAATTGCCTCCTCGCAGAGATGTGCCCGAATTTCTTAAAACTCTACTTGAAGGGGGATACACCATTAGCGCGTCACTTTAGTACTAACATCAGAGCCTATAATGGGGTTTTTTGCTTTATTTCTCTTAGAGGTAAAGTCAATCACTCTATTAATGATGGTCGTGGATTTTATGTATATTCAATCGGTGGTCAGATTTATCATCGAATAGGATGTTTGATTCCTGGTGATGGGGATAGTCCGAAATTTGCACAGCTTTAGATTCACTTTCAGATAACGAGGTCCAGAATCGTATGGACTTTTACTCCACTGATCCTGCCAAGAATCCGTTGCGCGAGTGTATTGTTGAAGGCCTCTAGCATATGTTTGATGTCAGTAATATCCTGGTACGTACATTTCGTTCTGCGCGAGATAGGATACAAAACTCTGGTGTCCAGGAGCTTCCAATAGCGTGAAATTAATAGTAGAGAATATGATTTGCCCTCTGCGAATGAGATTGCAACATTGATTGTAGATGAAACAGGAGAGCAATCATTTTCTCCAGATATAATTGTTCAATAGAAGGGGTCCAAGATAGGGTCAGTAACCACTGGTTACTGACCCATCAGTAACCACACGGGAGCCGTAGGATTGGGAATGGAGCAATCCTACGGCTGGGCTGGATGTGGAGTGGGGAGGGGCATTTTTGTCCGTTTTTGTATTTTTGTATTTTTTTATGCATTTTCTCTGCAACTCAACTTTCTTCCTTCTCTCTTCTTTTCTTTCAATCTCTTTCCAGATCTTTTCTCTTTCTCTATTCCTTCTCTCTTACTTTTTCTTTCACAATCTCCTTTTCAAATTTAGATCTGCTATCTTCCTTCTTCATTTTTTTCTCTAGCAATCGACGAATAAAAATTGTAGCCACTCTCTTTTTTTGCATTTCTTCTCTTCATCAACTCGTTGGCCTCAATTCCGATCTTTCTCATTTTTTTGGCATTTTGGTGTTCTTGATTGAGGAAGAGGAAATGAGAGGCATCAGAAGATGATTTTTTCTCTCCCTCCTTCTGTTTTTTTTTCCTTTTAGATAATATATATTGATATTATGACTCTATACCATATGGTATTGGGTGGTAACGAAATATATATTGATATTACCACACTATACCCTATGGTAATGTATGGTATTGCGTGGTAACGAAATATATATTGATATTACCACTCTATACCATATGGTATTGTGTGATATTACCATACCATACCATATGATATTGTGTGGTAACGAAATATATATTGATATTACCACACTATACCATATGGTATTGGGTGGTAACGAAATATATATTGATATTACCACACTATACCATATGGTATTGGGTGGTAACGAAATATATATTGATATTACCACACTATACCCTATGGTATTGGGTGGTAACGAAATATATATTGATATTACCACACTATACCCTATGGTATTGGGTGGTAACGAAATATATATTGATATTACCACACTATACCCTATGGTAATGTATGGTATTGCGTGGTAACGAAATATATATTGATATTACCACTCTATACCATATGGTATTGTGTGATATTACCACACTATACCATATGGTATTGGGTGGTAACGAAATATATATTGATATTACCACACTATACCATATGGTATTGGGTGGTAACGAAATATATATTGATATTACCACACTATACCATATGGTATTGGGTGGTAACGAAATATATATTGATATTACCACACTATACCATATGGTATAGACTGGTAATAACTGGAAAAAAAATTTGTGTCAAAAAAATATCAAAGTGGATATCATTTTGAAAAGCATAATTAATCTGATCTAACTGTGCAAAAAAAATTAAATTTCGACTTAAAACGAGTGAGAAATCGTCCGTTAAAGATTAAGAGAAGGAAAATTAAAGGTTTTTCGATGAGAGAGAAGGAGGTCCTGATGTGGTCGGTCAAAAGTCAGCGCGTCAGCAATAAATAGGGGATAAGTGCATTTTACCTTACTGCCCTTCCGCATTTAATTTAAATAAAAAAGTGGACTGACACGTAGAGAGAGGAGAGAGGGGTTACTGATGGGTTACTGACCCATCAGTTACTGACAAGATCCGATCCCAATAGAAGGGTTCAGAAATGGAAAGGATTAGCCTATACCATCCAAGTCTGATGGCATTACAATATCCAATTTTATTCCCATATTGCGAGGATGGGTGGCATCCCTGTATTAGCTATAGTCACAGTAGCTCTAATATCCGTGTTGGAGATAAAATGATAATGCAGTGTGATTTCTATGCATATCGTCTTCAAACCCGTCTCCAGGAGTCGAATTCTCTGTTATTATCTGGTAAATTGTTTCAACAATATATGGTGAATGCATTTGCGTTAATTGAGGCTGAACGCTTAGACTGGATGCGTACCCATCAGTCGAAGCTAAGAGGACACTACTACAAGGATTTTTTAAATTCTTATTTGTGAGGGGATAGTGATATCAAGCTTTCTGGGAAGCCAGTTAATTTAGCTGCCTCACACACTGGTAGTCCAAGATACAAGTATGAAAATTTTCAGGATGCGATGGCTATTTGCAAGTGGCTTGGTTATCCTGATTTGTTTATAACATTCACTTTCAATTCTAACTGGCCAGAGATACAGTTAGTGGTTGATTTGATTAGAAGGTAGAGTGGCAAAGATCCTGACCGGGCTGACATCACCGCTAGAGTTTTCAAAATCAAGCTTGATGAGTTTATGTTAGAGATTCGTGAGAAAGAAATATTTGGGAAAATCAATGCATGTATGTGTGCTTATTCATTCGTTATTTATCTATTCATGTTGATCCATTACTCTCTTACCTCATTGAACTAATATTCTTTTTCCACTATTTGCATCTTGCTGTACAGATGTCAAAGCAATTGAATGGCAAAAGCGGGGTCTCCCTCATGCCCACATATTGCTTTTTTGTCCTCAGAGAATAAATTTCATGGTCCTGCGGCTATTGATTCCATAATTTGTGCTGAAATTCCGGATCCTAATCTTGATCCTAAACTATATGCAGTTGTCACAAGTTCAATGATGCATGGCCCGTGTGGTACAGTACATCCTAATAATGTGTGCACGAAGAATGGGACATGTAGTAAGCATTACCCCAAGGAATAATCTTCTCAAACAACTATCGATGAAACTGGGTTTTGCTAAATATCGTCGGCGGAACAATGGTAGAGTTTCAACTGTGGCGGGGTTGATCTGGATAATCGATGGTTTGTACCCTACAATCGATATTTGTTACTACGATTTGGAGCGCATATCAATATTGAATTTTGTAATAAGACAAGGTATGGCTGAAGTAAATCGTATTTATCTATATGAAGTTGTTGTTTCCTTTATTATATTACCAAACTCAGATTCTTAATGACAGACTATATGTATATTTATATGCTACACTCATTATTAACTTTATGCATGCATATTAATTATGATTTAATTTCCAAAGATGAATAAAAACCAAACCAATATTTGTGCGATTTCTCTTTTTGTATTTATTTTATAAACCCAGTTTTATCTTATTGGTGTGACTTCTTCCCGCAACTCTGTAATTTTTGTAATATTCTTTGCAGTGTTTTCCTTCTTTTTTCCCCCTTGGATAAGCTATTGTGATCCATTTGTTGCCTTTGTTCTCTGTACTTTGCATATTGTGTTTTGGTTTCTTATTTAATACAATCACATTTAAGAAAAAATGTAATACAACTTTTTCCTACTTCCCTATCTAACATCTACAACTTGGTTTTATTTGATGTTTATATAGGGCTGTGAAATATTTGTTTAAGTACATCAACAAACCCGAGGATCGTGCAATGGTCACTGTAGTTGCACAACAAACAGCTTCAGCTATGGATGGTCGGAATCGTGGAACTACGATTGTTCAAATTGATGAGATAAAGGCATTCATGGATGCTCGTTACATCACATCGGGAGAAGCATGTTGGAGAATTTTTAGGTTTGATATATACAATCACTCCCCAACAGTACTTCGTATGTCCTGTCATTTGCCTGAGGAGAATACAGTGTATTCAAATGTTGAATCTAACGTGGAGGAAGCGGTTGAGTCTAGCAGTTCTCAAACCTCAATGTTGTTAGCATGGATGGATCTCAATCTTCAGTCAAGAAGTGGCAGCAGCGCAAGAAAGGTACCTGCATTGCTAGATTATATTATATTACTGCTACCCATATGCAAAGGAGTGGCACTATTTGCGAATGCTATTGCATGTTGTTAGGGGTTGTTGTTCTTATGATAATATTAGAACAATGAATGGGGTGGTATATGAGACATTCCAAAAAGCATGTTATGCTCGGGGACTGTTATCAGGAGATTCTGAATGGAATGATTGTGTACAAGAAGCTTCACATTGGGCTTCTGGTTATAAACTTAGAAAACTTTTTG